AATCTATAATGTAGTAAATTAAATATACATTCTACCATAAAGAAGAACAATATAAACAGTTTTACAGAATCTAAGTAAAAATTAGTCAAAAACACAAGTTTCTGTTCAGGAAATAGAATTAGACTATGCAATTATTACAGCAAACACCTGCCAACCTACAACCACTTCACCATCCACCAGATTTGCTCTTCTATGGTTCAGTTATAACACAACACAAAATAGAAATAAAATGCTGGACAACACCCATGCCGTAATCCCACCACTTGCGAGGAGCGGTGTGGATCACAAGGTCAGATCAATACCAGCCGGCCAACATGGTGAAACCCTAATCTCTACTCAAAAAAAAAAAATAACCAGCATGGTGATGGTCATCCTGTTAACCCAGCTACCGGGAGCCTGAGGCACGAGAATCGCTGAAACTGGAAGTGGACGATTGCAGTGAGCCGAGATGGCACCACTATAGCCCAGCCTGGTGCACAAGACCAAAAGATCTCAAAAAGAAAAAAAAAAAAAAAAAAAAAGCCAAGATCGCATGTGGCTCATGATCTGTAATCCCACACCTTGCAGGTGTCCGACAGGTGGGTGGATCACTGAGCCCAGGATTCAAGACCAGCCTGGGGCAACATGGCAAGACTCTGACTCTACAAAAACAAAAAAAAAAGTTAAAGCCAGTGGGGGCGCACACCTGTGGTTAACGCCAATTTGGGAGCTGAAGGTGGGATGAATGCTTGATCTGGAGCCCCTGACCTGCAGTGAGCCAAATTGAGCACTGTGCCCAGCCCTGTGACGAGAAGACCCCTATCCAAAAAAAAAGAAAAAATCCAAAATGAACAAATCATAAGTTTTAAAGTGCTGGCATTTGAGTAGCGTGATGAAAAAAAAACCCCAAGCTATCTCCAATTGGTACCGTTCGAGATTGAACTCATCTCTTGGTTCACACACTGTATAATTTATCCTGCTCATTAGTGGCTAAGCCATGTTGGTTCCAAAGAAAAACACAGATATAGAAGTTGCGGATAATCCACCATTTCAGGCATCTATGGGGTTCTGAAATGTATCCCCTATGGACAGCTGAAGCTAAGTATATTCCAAAAACTATCACAAAATGTTAAAATATACATCCACTTGAAAGTTTTAAGAATATAATTGAATGTACATAAAAAGGCAGCAAATATTTCCCCAATGAATCACCATATTGCAAACAAGAACACAATGTAAGAAAAAGACTAATCATCAAGAGATAATTTTTTTTCCTCTCTTAAACCGTATAATATAATGAAACTGATTTCACACATTAATTAAAAACTTAATGTGTAAGAAATGGTCCTACATTCAAAATTTTTCCCGTAAGTGTGAATTGTGGATTTTATAAAAAGACCACGATGATACAGAATATTTAAAGTTACAAGTAAATTAGGGACCAAGCGCAGACATACATCTGAGTAATATACACCCCAAATCACGAGTCAGAGGATCGAGACCATCCTGGGCAACAGGAGAAGACCGCCGGTCTTCTACCTAAAAATACAAAAAATTACCGGTGGTTGTAGTGGCAGCAGGTCTGTAGTCCCAGTGTACTCGGGAGCTGAGGCAGGAGAATGCATAACGAGAGGAATGGATAATGACACGAGCGAGAAAAAAGCGCCACTGCACTCAGCGCTGGCCGAGCAAAGCGAGACTCAGTCTGCAAAAAAAAAAAAAAAAAACTAGGAGATTGGTGGGCATAGTGGCTCACGCCTGTGAATCCCAGAGACTTGGGAGGCCAAAGGCGATCCACTGAAGTCAGAAGTGAAACCGCAGCTGGCAAAACGATTGGTGAAACCCTGTCTCTACTAAAAATACAAAATTTAGCTGGAATGTGCGCATGTGCCTGTAGTCTCACTAGTGGAGCTGAGGGCGAGGAGAATCGCTCAACCGCAAGGTGGAGGGTTGCAATGAGCCGAGTATCTATTACTGTACTCCAGCCCTGGGCTGAACAGAGGTGGAGACTCAGCTCCAAAATAAGGAAGCCAACCTTTTCCAGTCAACTTTTAAGAATTTCATTTTAAAACAGCCATTAAAAGTACCAAAATACACAAATACTTTGGCAAGACTTAAAATGCATACTGATAAAAGCAGCCTGCATGTAAATGGCTCATGCCTGTAATCACAGCACTTTGGGCGGCCAAGGTAGAGAGATCACTAGAGTCCCAAGAGTTCGATCGACCAGCTCAGGCAAGCAAACAGAGACCCTGTTTGTTTTTTTTTTTTTTTTTTGGAGATGTAGTCTTGCTCTGGTTGCTGGCTTTGAGGTGCAGTAGCAGCGTCTGGCTTATGCAAACCGTCCCAGCTCCCGGTTTCACGATCCTCCTGCCTCAGCCTCCCAAGTACTGGGACCATAGTGCTGCGCACATACACTCAGGCTGAATTGTTTTGTTTTTTATAGAGATGGTGTTCTTGTTTTTGTTTTTTTTTTTTTTTTGAGACGGCTCGCTCTGCGCGCCACGGCTGGAGTCAGTGCCGGATCTCAGCTAACTGCAAGCTCCGCCTCCCGGGTTTACGCCATTCTCCTGCCTCAGCCTCCCGAGCAGCTGGACTACAGGCTCCTGCCACTCGCCCGGCTAGTTTTGTATTTTTTAGTAGAGACGGTGTTGTTCACCGGTACCAGGATGTCTCAATCTCTGACCCGGATCCACCCA